TGGAACGCTAATTATGTTTCATTTGAAGTTGCCCATGAAAGGGTAATCTAGGCATTGCTCTCTATAAAAATAATGACAATTTTCGTCTACGTGAGGACACTTTCCTTTTCCGCTCTTTTGATCTTCTCTGAAGGTTGCTGCTTTTCGTGCTTAGGCGTTTTTATTTTTGCACACATCTCGTGATCTCAGCTTATTATGCTCATCTCTTAGTTTCAGAGTAGCAACGTTGTATGCTCTCACATTGCAGTTTGGTTTCGTTATTGAATTATTAAAGAGATGTCCACTGGAGATGGACAACCGCCCCCAGACGGATCTGGACAGGTACTTCCACTGATTCCCTGATCTAGGCACATATTATCAGAAATGGCTTCTCTGATATCACAGAAGCTCATCAACGTCTACTAGACAAATGATTATTTCAGAACTTTCCAACACCAACACTGAACAATTTGCTTAGTAATAAGACTTCTGTGGGAGGAGATGCGGGTTTCCACCAGGTATGCATTTGAGCTTGAGTTCTTGGATGGAGTTTGAGAGAGAAACATTTTTTCCTACTAATTTAGTTACATTCGGAATGAGTCAGAGTGAGGTTCGTATGATCCACGGAGTTTTATTGAAAATTAGGCAAAATTTTTCTCCCTGTGATTTTAATAGACCACCGTCCCTGCGACTTCGTGAGATTAACGCTAGGAAGAAGAGAATGTAATTTTTTAAATTCTGATGGTTTTGTAAATTGAATTGTAGGTTAGTAATGGCTACAAATTAAGCACTATCTAGAAGCTGTGTGTCGAAGCTGTAAGGTCCATTCGAGCTAACCAGCAACAGTGAGAATAGGCGCTTTGTTTTAGAGAGCTTTGCAAGATAAGTTATGAAAAATATGAGTTTGGGGGTAAAAATAGTTAAAATAACAGGCGTGAATCTAGAAGAAAAAGAGCGTGTCAAAAGAATTATCGAATAGGTCTTAATTACTAGTATTATGGGTAACTAATCATCTGCGGAGAGTATTACGTTTTTTCAAATCAGCCCGAAAAAGTGCAATTGGTTGAGAGTGACATTGACATGCGGTCTCGTGGATGTTTTATGTACCCGTTGTTGTTTTTTCCACGACAGAACTAGACGTTTTACAAAAATCAATGGTCATTCGTTGAGTCAAGGTAAAAATAGTTAAAATAACAGGCGTGAATCTAGAAGAAAAAGAGCGTGTCAAAAGAATTATCGAATAGGTCTTAATTACTAGTATTACGGGTAACTAATCATCTGCGGAGAATATTACGTTTTTTCAAATCAGCCCGAAAAAGTGCAATTGGTTGAGAGTGACATTGACATGCGGTCTCGTGGATGTTTTATGTACCCGTTGTTGTTTTTTCCACGACAGAACTAGACGTTTTACAAAAATCAATGGTCATTCGTTGAGTCATCGCTCGCAAGGTGGTCAGTTTGCGACGACACATGTATGTTGTTGTGACGGGCGTCATCGGCAAACGAGCTGGTCGAAAAGACCAACGTCCGAGTGTGTTTGTTTGCACTCCTTGCGAAGGCGTGTATTGTTGCGGTGTTGTCTCCTCCCGAATTCCCACGTGCAATTTATTTGTGATGGGGTCTCGTGCGGTATCCCCGGCATTTCGGACACTCACACGCACTTACACACACAGTGCATATTTCTGCCCCTCGTAGACGTTAACAAAAACGCTTGGCTTTCGCATCTGGTGTGCGAATGTGTCCGTCAACGTGACTTGCTCTTTGATCCGTTCTTTCGAGTGGGTGTTCCCTGTCTTTTGTGGATGACATGTGAGCATCTGATTAAATCGTTACAACCCTGGATCCGCGCAAGCGAAGAAACGGCTAATTCGTACATCATGGACTGTATCCACCCTATTATCGATGAGCCAGCGTACACCTTCCAATTTAGCCTTCTCATCAATCGCCTTAGAGGTTTCTACAGAAAACAGTGCAGTTCCGGTTAACGCGTGCTCGATTTTAGGCACAACTGGCATTGAATTATGGAGAGGTACTGGGTAGGCTCTTTCTACGCACTGTTCCGCTAGAGCGACTAGGTCTTTTATGAGAGCTCGAAGATTGCTCAATGGAACAACCGTTGAGAAAAGATTGTAATTGTGGAGATCACAACTTTTGAATTTCAACTTTTTTTTAGGTTTTTGAAATTTTTGGGTGCGAGTTATAAAGGGAAAGAGTCTTCTAGAAATTGAGCTGCGGTTTCCCATTGGGATCTGGTTCTTCTTTTCAGTGGAAACTTTTTCCTTGTATTCTTTCCGATGGAACGGTTTCTAACCGATTCAAGTAGCCACGGTTGGAGAGAAACTCCGCTGGGCATCCCTGGCTCATCAGTGTGGGAAAGTTCCGCGTTCGTCGGCGATGATTTTTGTCGCGTATTAGCAGCTAATTGCAGTCGTTGATTATCTCTTTTACAAACGATGACGCCATCGTCGCCGCCACTGCAATAAGCGCCGATGTTCCCCGAGAGTTGTGTTGCGGCGCATTGTCGCATAAATCACTTCTGTCATCTACGATTAAACATTACATAATTTGAAGAAGGTGAAGATTAGCGTGGGAAAACGTGGTGACAACAGTGTAAGCTTTCCATCTTCATGGTGGATTGGTGGAAGAAGCGGTAATAAGGCGTAATTGAGTCGCCGAGCGCCAGACGCTGCTTGGATTTGGCCGTGAAATGAGTGCAAAGTCAGCGGTGCATAATAAAAGAGGTTCGCACGGGGACGGCGAAAATGGAGGCGGAGGAACAAGGTGCTGATGGATTACGTCATCAAGTCGCCGACGACAACTCATCGCTAACGGCCATTTCAGCGTTCTCAGCCCGGCCGTATGCAATAGGTGGTAGTCAATTGTTGAGTGCATATAACGTTGTTGAGTGATCGCCACACCACACGAGACATGATGATTGTTAGTGAATGTGTCCAGTGTGGTCCTCGGTCTGTTCGCCTTTCGTCAGCCTGCTCTCAGTCCCGTTTGTCTCTCGTGTCTCTTTCTCTCTTACTTCGTCGTCTAGTGAAATGACGTGATTAAATTGCGCACCGGGGAATCCCCTCTGGTCGTCACTCTGGAGCCCTCTCAGCACTTATAATACTCATCATCGGATTGTCCTAATGCATATCTGTTTTGTCATATTGATCCACGCTTTCTTGCTAATTGCAAGTCGATTTAATCAGTTAACACTTGACAGGAACAGTGTTCGCTGTCGAGCTGTGTCTATGTTGGGTTCTCTACCAAGTTGATTTTACTCTAGCTGTTTTCTGTGCGTGGAAGCTGATGACCACTGATAGATGATAGTACTTTTCATGGTCTGAAGTAGTTCTTGCCTTTGATGTTCAACCGTTCACCAAGCACTAAGTTCGCTCACATCCACCTTTCATGGTCTGACTCCTCTTCCTAGTTTTGCGAACGAATTTTCATACGTGCAGTGGGCGCTGAACTGGGAGCCAGTCAGCGTTTGAAGAGAGCTAGCGCAACCACTATCGGCTGCGGCAATGCACGAAAGCGCATGTGCACTTGGAGACGCAGACACACAAAAGTGCAAGTTTTTGCATTGTCAGTGTGTACAGCGAAGTACTCGCAATCATAACGGAACTAGCAATTGTGCATGTGCCGTCGTACGCGCTCTTCCGAAGGAAATCTTTCGAGTCACAAAGCGGTGTTTTTCATTTGAGCGCCTATCATGCTATAGGAATTGTATGGGCTTTCGATGGTGTAGGTGGCGTGTTTGGTTCGGTGTCGGAACGAATGCGTGAGGTTCACGTTCTATGGGCGCACTTTTATCGCCGCATCCGTGACAGGTTGCGTAGTGTACGTGCGGTGGACGGAGTCCGCAGCTACAGACGTCGACGAAGCATCGCTCCGAAAGACGGAGGACGTAGACGAACAGTGGGCAACTGCGGCGGCAATCGATGGTGGCCGGGGCGGCTGCGAGCGAATGCAAATAACTCTTCCCTGCGTGTCTAACGTATTTGCGAGGCCTCGTACGGTATGTCTGGCGAGCGCTATTTCGCCGAAACCCTCCCCGTCTGCTGTCAGCCTGTGTATGCGATTGAAAGGGGGCGAAAGAATGGGAAGCGGGCCGGGACGCTGCGTCGGCGATACACTGCGATGTGCACAGAGGGCGCAGATCGGGGACCGAATAAGTGAACTGACGTTTGATGGGCATATATCGCTGGAGAGCCCGGGCTCCGTTCGAGAAACAGCACACCGACGATTTATGATTCGCGTGCTTAATGCGACTGAAAAGCGCGATTGCAAAAGGAACGATATAAGAGTGCGAATCCATGAGAGAGACTGACTCCGAAAAACAAGATCTCTTTGAGCATTATTCAACGACGTAAGAGGTGGGCTTTGTAATGTCATTCTTCTTCTGCTCATTTTCATCGAAACGATTGCCCCAACATGCCGCTTCATCTCTTGAAAGAATCGCTGCTCTTTTCATCGATATTTTCACATCCACCGCGGTTTCCCAAAATATGATTGTCCCATACTCGCCTGTTTGATGAGCTTTCTAGTCAGTTCCATAGAAGCCTTTACACTAGCTATAGGCTTGTCCAAGTGTGCCGAAAAAGGAGTCATAGCGGAAAGGTGTGACGTGCGTGATGGCACGGCTCTTCGCTGCGGCAGATTTTACGTGCCTCGGACTAGCCGATCTTTAAAAGACCAGTCCGACGTGTTTCACGCGTCTGTCAACTGTGCTATTAATGGGTTGTGTGTGTACGCGTATAGTTTGGCGACGAACCGCGCCCATTTTCGACCGACCAACCATCAGCACGAGAGATGATTGTGTTTGTGTGTGAACGGGGATAGCGTGGGAAACAGCGGGCGGCAAGGTGAGAAGACAATTCCCTGACATGACGTCATCCATCGGCGATGATCGCTCGTTGGTGGCGGTATGTGTGTGTGCGTGGTGTATCGCACCCAAGCGTCGTCGCGCGAACCTTGTTTATCATCTGCTCCGGCGGCGGCGCGACGTCGCGCGGTCGCCGCGCATGCGTCATGGTCTCAGCGCCCACCTCGGTCGGCGCCGGTCGAGGAAGGCTGGGGCGGCTGATGACTGGCCAGGGCTGGCCCGTCATGGCCATGTGCGTTCCGATTCGCGGCGACTAGTAAAAAACAGCAACAGACTAGCACACATACACATGGTTCCCACGGGCGCCAGAGCTAAGATCAATTCCGCGTTTACGTCACACACGCTTTCGCATCATGAGAGAGGCGGGACCTTGGGGGGTTTCCCCAACCAACGAGCATGTAGTGCAAATAGCCAAGACGACGAAATCGTCACGTGAATGAGAGAGCAGCGATCTTTTATTTTATTCCTGTCACGTCCGCCGTCCTTAAACGTCGTCAGCGTTTTCTTGCTCCTGTTACATCGACACTCGGGTTCACTATTTCTACTTTAAGTTTCCATCTAATGCAAATCATTATTTGTCGAGAAATGATGGTATGATAAGATAAAGGAAGGAGGAATAAAGGGATATTCACCGAAGATTCGCCAGTGGTGTACTTAAGCTTACGAAAGGGCTGCTAAAGGCAAATTATGGTCGGAAAAGCTTTTTAGAAGCGGCGTGTAGAGTGAGATATATTGGGACCACTTGATCACCCTTCTGGTCGATGTGGGTATATTTTGCATAGAGAAAACCTCCTTTCTCCTTCTTGACTAACATAATCGAAGTGCAGTGATATTTTGCGAGTTCTGATCTAAGAGAAAGCCAGCTTAATAAGCCTACTGTGTGGTAGTGTTAACAGTTCTACTTTTAGTGCAATGGTTAAAAACCACGTATGAATGGGGTTAGATTTGTGGGGGGGGGGCTTAAATTCTTTCACATTCATGACTTAGTGAGCTGTTTTTTTCCTCTTTTTCTTTTGTGTACTGCATGGGATTTATGTTAGTAATTGTTTTTCTTTAGGATCAAAACTTATCGAATGGTGGAACACCGTATGGTGCTGATCGGTATGCGGCCACAGCCGCAGCGGTAGCTGCCGGAGCGGGTTCGATGCTCCATGGCATACCACCGAAGCATGCTCAACTTGCCGGCGTTCAGCAGCAAGAATGGCAGCAGCCACGTTCGCCTATGCCCTCCGGTGAGCACTCTTCAATGCTCACTTCGAAAGTAAGAAGGATAGTAAAAGATGGAGACTGATGCTAGAAGGATCAAAACCCCTGCGGAGCAAATGGTCCAAGAGGGGTTCATTTTGCGCGCGCACTGCCGCCCATTCTCTCAGTCGCGATTACATTTTCTGCGATTTTCATAATTTCTTTCAGATGTTTGATCGTTCTGGTTTTTGATTTGTCATATTGCAGATGGTCAGCAAGTCCCTCATCAACCTCAGCATCCCTATCCAGGTGGTTATCCACCTCAATTCATGCAAGGTCGACCATCTGGATTTCCTTGCTATCCGGGCTATCCTCCTATGCCTCCAGGGCAGCCGAACTATCCAGGCAGCGCCCCTCCACCGGTCGCCTACCCCCCTCATATGATGCGACCGCAACAGCCAGAACTTGTTCGCATGCCTCAAGGACCAACACCGGCTGAATGGGCTGCTCAACAGCAGCGTGCCCTCAAGGTGAAGCACTAAATGCATGATTTGTGAATGCTTCAATCACCGATCTTCTTCCAGGAAGGCAATCCACCAACTCCAGCAAGTATCCCGGCACCAAGTCCTGCCGCGTCATCTGTGGCAGATGAGTCTATGGATGACAAGTCCCGTTTGGAGTCGCCATCTTGGTCGAATCAAGGACAGGTATGATTAAATTATGTTGAAATGACAACCTATGCATTTACACTGATGAAGGAGCTCGATTTAGCGTACTCCACACCCCAGCGGACCTCCTCACCCGTCAGGAATGATGATGCATCCAGGAATGATGCCACCGCAAAGTATGATGCCGCCTGTGATGCAGCCGGCCACTCCTGCAGGCCCACGTAAGGAGAGCATAGTGGATAAACTCGTGAGTAATTACTGATTAGTTATCATTAACTATTTATTTGTGTCTGTATAAAAACAGTTTTGGTAGAAACAAATTGCCATCACAGGTTGGGCCACCAACAGCCGCGAATCCACCTCGGGTGATGCCTGAACGGCGTATGTTTTTTGAGCGCCTCGTTCAATTCTGTGAGCAACATGGTGAGCCGATCACCATGATACCGCAGGTAGTGTTTCTGATTATCACAATTGCGTTTTGTATGCTGTTTGTCCCCGTGTTTATGCTGAGCTCTATCATTCTGCAGGTTTCGAAACAAAACGTTGATTTGCATCGGTTGTACATCGGTGTTCGAAATCGTGGAGGGTTTGAGCAGGTAAGAGATGTGCTTTTCTGACTGCGTTGCCGGACAATAACAATAGAACGTGTAGGTAATCCGTATTTCACCCCTAATGCATTAAAGTTCAGGTAACTAAAGACAAAGCGTGGAAGGCAATTTGCACCGAAGCCAATCCCGAGATCTCGCAGTCGTCGGCTGCTGGTTATCAGCTTCGAAAACACTATGAGAAACACTTGTTGCTGCTTGAATGTGTGGAGACAGGTCGCCGTCCAGAAGACGCGGTCGCATTTGCCGATGGCCTTAAGAGGCAACGGAGGAAGGAACCTGCCGCTACGGCTGCTGCTGCCGCCGCTGCTGCAGCTGGAGGAACACCAAGTGGATCTCTGCCCCCTTTTCCGGGTTAGTTTTTTGCTAATGTCAAACAGTTGTGCGCGCTTAGTACTTTTATTCTGTTTTCTGATTACGCTTTGAAAATTGTGCTGACAAAGATAGTTCATATTGCGAAGGCAAAACAAGTGACTGGAATGAATCGCTGCTGATTGGTCTAGAAGAAAAGCCGATGAAGAGCTAATATGATGTGAAAGAGGTTTCCAAGAAGTGAAACCAATCTATCTAAATATGGTCCTCTTTATTGGCGTGATGCTACTATTTTCACGTGTTCCGTCGGGAAATAGATATGTCAAGAATAAGCTGTTAGTAATGTCGATGGCTAATTAACGCTGTGTCCCTTTCTTGTGTGCTAGTCGAGGTGTGACATAGGTCTCATTAATGCTGTCGACGGATGCGGTTGGCAAGGCGACGTTGTTCGCTCATCAATACAGTATGAACATGCGTCTGCTTAAGTGCTGACAGAAAATGTGCGCTTCTCCATCAGTGCACACAGCGAACTGAAGAGTAAGCCAAGTGATTTCTATTTGTTGAAAACATAAGTCGTAAGGGAAGATTGGGAGAGAGCACGAATGTGTTTCATGAAAGAGTTGGTGTTATTTAGCTCAGTGCGATGCTCGCTCCGGCTACAAGAGAATTCTCGTTTAGTATGGCACTACCATCTTTTCGTGAATCGTTCTGTGATCAGGTATCGCTATGCGCAGGGCGCTACCAATGTTTTTGACTAGGCCAGGTCCTAAAGTGATAGATTGGCTGCTGTGGGTACCGCTCCCGAACGTACAAAGTGCGAATAACCAAGAAAGATTTGATAAACTTGAGTAGAGGGTTCCGTGGAGATGCATTCAATATGATGTGACTGGCGGAAAAAAAGTCGCGACAGGATCGTCGCAGTCATGTGAAAATGGAAGGATGATACGCTAGATGTGAGAACTATTTAACAATAGTGGTCGAAAGTCGGACGATAGTGCCTTACTGAGGTATCTGTAGTCGTCTGTCAGGCTTCTCACCCCCCGGCGATGTCGGTACTCTCTCGAGGTGATTATGCGTTGCTGGGCGTTCTCGCCTCATCTTTCTCGTTCTGCGACTCTGGCACCTGCTGTTCAGACCGCCTCCTCTCTGTGGCCGGTGCCGCTGTTGCTCGTGCCTACGAAGGAACAGGCTCTTTCCGGCTTGACAGTAGATTTCGGATCAGCGCTCATTTCAATCATCCTATCTGTTTCACAGATTTGTCCCTTGATTGCACATGGCCAAGTCATTGCCATTTTCTTGCTATTTACTACCACGACATTTCGGCGATGCTGAGCAGTCACCCTTCTTAGAGCAAAATTTGTTGTCGGTTCTCAATAACGATGAAGTCTGATCATATTTATAGTTTTTTACTTGCCATTAGAACTTGTTTTTCTTCGCACGTCACATGCGCTAAGTGATGTTGTTATCGTGCTGATTGACTTTCATTTGTCTGTTTGTTCTCTGATTCACATCTAATTTCGTCGAAACGCACGTGGTTCTTTGCCGATCTTTGACCGTTGTAAGAGAATGGATATGCTGTCGAAAACGATATTCAGGAGACTCACACGGGACGACGCCCTAGAATTACATCAAATCTCACTGACTGACTTGATCAACATTTCACTACCAAAGAGAGCTGAGTATTTCGGCGGCGGTGCCTATCCGGCCGCCTCCAGCACACTGCCGTCGACGAGTTTCTCTCCGTCGCCTCAGCCATTACTGATGGGCGCTCGCACAGCCATCGCCACTGCAACATGGTATCCACAACATCCACAACATGGAGGTGGATACTTGTCAGCGCCTGTGCCGCAAGCGCGACCGATCACAAACGGCCCGTGTCCATCGTCGTCATCGACATCTCCATCGCAACATTTTTACCCGCAACCGACCACTTACGGTGCTCTACCACAGAATTCGATGAAGATGTCACCGAATGCCTCGCCGTACGCTCAGTATGCGCTCAACTATTACCATCATCAAAGCGTTCGAGAACGGGAGCGAGAGGCATATTATCGGTCTCGCAATATGATGTTGCCACAGTCCGACTGGCGACCTTACGGTGAGTGGGGAACAGTTCTGGTGTTATCGTTACCATTTTTGTTGCGGTCTAGCATTTATCGCAGTGTGGTGTTATCTGAAGAAATTTCGCGGTTCCGAGACGCGCGCGTTGTGATAGCGCCGGCGGCGTCGAGAATAAAAGTCTAGCATTGTGGTGAAGAGTGTCCGACGTGAATTTGCGTGCGCTCGTATGTCCCGCAGTCGTTGATGGGCGGCTGTTCTCTGGGAGTTTGACGGGAGAAATTCTGTTTCCTCGCCAGCTGACCCCCTACCTTAGTGCAAGTTTTCTATGGCGCACCGCGCTTTGTTAAGAAGGCGCGGTTCAAGCAATAGCAAGGAAATAAATGATTTCTCTTTATTGGTGGGTTTACGGTCAGTTCTAAACGCGTCTTTGTGGACGAGATCAACAAGAGATGCAGTCGTTTTTGTTGTTGTTTTCACCTGTGAAACAAGGTACTTTCGCACTTTTGGCACGATTGCATCTCATTGTGCTGCACAGCTGTCCGTGGTATCGATTTCAAATGAGCGTCACACACAATTTTTTTTAGTGAAAATAGTCCATATAAGAGCGATGGAAGGGTCTCGTATATGTTGTGTTTGCTGTGTCTTTATTGCTGAAGGTGGCGATGGCACTAATTTGGTAGATTTTCCACTTTCATGGATTTTCACAAATAAGTGTGGTGATCTCTAAGAGAGATACTTTGATAGGATAGTCTTTATCCGGATTTCCGGCTTGCACATGATTAGATGATGTTTTTTGTGGTTGCGAAATGTTGATGAAGAACTCTGTAGTATTGATTGCATAATTAATTGATAAGTGACGTTATAGTTTATTTGCACTTCATTGTCCAGGAATTCTACAGTAGAATGCATTGTTGAGATTTCTTCGTAAAATTGTCGGCTAGTAATGACAAGCCGTCCGATACGGTGTTGTCATGGAAACTTCTCGTTGAGGTGTGGGTTCGAGCTGCTGTGTGAAACCATGTCGATATTACGTTGCGCATTGGATGTGCGTGTGTGTATGTGCTCCAATCGTATATCAGTAGACGATGATAATGTGCGATCGCGAAACACGTTATTACCTTTTTGCTGTCAGCGTGAACACCACATATACACATAAGCTGGAACACATCTGTGGTGTGTGCTGCAGCAGCTGATCGCCACGTTGTCAAGTGAAGTGAAAGTGTGGCACAATAGCGTCAATCATGTTTTTTGGGCGCAAGTTGCAATTCGGAGCGGTTTTTTGGTGAACACGGAACAAATCGAGCACATTAAACAGCTCAAGTGGACACTAAAGTTGTCAGAATGATGCGCTGCCGAAAGATATCATCGTGATTGAACCATTTCTTCCCCATAATGACAGGCTGTGAAAACGCTGATGTAAAAAAATAGTCGCATAAGAAACAGTGAGCATTTATCAAGGCAGCAAAATGGTTCTCATTAGGAGTGCCCACAGAAAGGTCAACAAGTGTAAGGATTTTTCAGTGAAATCAACAATAACTCGGAAAGCCTTTGTTAGGTAACACTACATGTAGGCGAGATGAGTGAGACCTATAGGGAGCGCGTGTTCGCTCGTGATTAACGAAAGAAGCTGTATTTATAAATTTCCTTTTTTTTCAAATCGTTCGAAATGCACAATTTTTGAAGTTTGAGTTCTTGAGACCGTTATCTCTTCATTTATGGTAACAATTCTAATGCCTTAACGTTTAATCTATACCTGAGTGGGTGCTGAGTGACGTCAGCTGAGTGAAAGTTATAGCACACAACGTCAAAAAATATAGCGTCGCAACAGATTTCTATATAATTTGATTTTTTTTGCTTTTTATGTGAGGTAATACATTTTTGTATCGTTTTGAAAGATTTTAAACCATTTTTTTCTAATTTAAGGCCCTCCTCATGCCCAACCGCCTCCTGGTCAGGATCCAGCGTTGTACTATCAACAACAGCAGCAACAAGCGGCAGCTCATGGTTTTCCGCCGGGCACAGTTCCCACGGGACCTCCCGGCGCTCCTGGAACGTATACGGCCGGTGCATACCCTCCGCGACTTCCGCCGAGCACCGCGCCTATGCGAGCCCCACATCCGCAACCGCATATGGTATGTTGCTGTATTTTACGTCGTTTGCCGCAACTGATTTGGACAAGCTTCAAAAGAGAATAAAAATGTTTTGTAGTTCCTAAAGATCGCAACTTTTGTCTTGTGAGTGCTCAAACTTTTTCAAATTAATACAGTGGATGGAAGTAATGAATGTTCCATATTTTACCAGTGCTGATCGTCTTTCCTTTTCAGCCGGGCGTCCCGCCACAGCCAGACCTCTCCCAAATGGATGAGCAGCAAAGACAGCATTACTTTATGCAGCATCAATATCACCAGCAACAAATGGCCCATCAGCAGCAGCAACAACATCAGCAACAACAGCATCAACAGCAACAGCAACAACAGCAGCAGCACAATTACAGCAACAACAGCAACAATGCACCAACAACAACTGCAGCAGCAGCAACAACAAGCCCAGCAACAACAACAGGCCCAACAACAACAGCAAGCAACAACAACAACAACAGCAACAAGCACAACAGCCTCCGCAGCAGAACCTAGTTGCTCCCAGCAACCCTAGTTGCTCCCAGTCAACCCACTCAGCCTGCCACTCCTGGGCGACCCGGCTCTGTCCAGCCTGGCTCTGTTCAGCCTGGCTCGGTTCAACCGGGCTCTGTCCAACCTGGTTCTGTTCAACCTGCCACTCCTGCAGCGCTACAGGTTGGGAATTTGTTTTAGAAAGTTTTGCCTTCAAGTAAATTCACCTCTCTTGTTTGCTGTTTTCTTGAAGACAATTTTCAGATGGACAATGCAAGCCAATCGGGTAGTCGTGCTCCCAGTACGGGTCCTGCTGCTAGTGCTGCATCACCAGATAGCAGTTCGCGTATGAGTGCTGGTGTGGAGTCGACTGAGCAACGTCCTGGATCAGCTGCAGTGGGAACACCAGCTGCGACACATACTCCTGGTCCTCATTCTGTTCCTCAGCCGTCGACTAGGTAAGTTTTTTTTTTTGAACTTTTTTGATCTCATTTTTGCACGGTTGCGCCCTCAGCGGTTCATTCTTCCTACCCTCTTAATTCTGATGTGGATAGGGCGGGATGGTGTGGTGGTTAGAGGCGCCAATAAGTGTACACCCAGGTACTGTCTTTCAACATCAGTCTGGTTCACTAAAGCATTCCATCGTCCCGATTGCATTCCTGTTCCTCTGTTAGTGAAGAGAAATTATGGCAAAAAAAGTAGTGCTTCGCTTCACAATGGTATCTTTGGGTAGGGGTCCCTTTGATTGCCGTGTCGTTGTTGGGCTACTGTGAGCGATAGTTTGAAGAATCTCACATTCATTTTTTCCATAGCGTTAGCGTTGAGCGACAAGCATTGAACACACGCTTTCACTCCGTACATGCAAACGACGATGGCATTTGTATGCAGTATGCTTACGTGGCGCCGGCGCGCGTTTATTGTGGGAAGGGAAGGCGCGTCGCGACGATCGCTCATCGGCCAGCCGTCATCAAGCGCCGCCGTCGTCCGTCCATCCATCCATCCATTCAGTCATTCAACCAGTTGAGCTTCGCGTTCTGTTGAGATCTTCTTCCATGCTCTCCCTGTACGCAACTTTGTGACGAGAAGTTGTCCTCGTCAGCGACGGATCGCGGTGATTGTCAGGCCGACCAACCATCGTCGGCACATCGCGACGAAGGTATGGGCGATGGTGGGATGACCTTGTGCACGCCCGGTTTGCGCCACCGCGTCCCGTAGCTGCTGCGATGACGGCGGCCCTACCCCGCGGACGTTTCTTGCGACGGTTCCATTGATTCAGAGGCCTATTGACAGGTGTTTCAGCATTTTGGTAATACCTTTGGCAAGTTACATCAGTGATAGAGGAGTGCCTGCATATCGACAGATCTGCTTTTGGTGTATCTGCTCATATTTCGACTTCCTTATAAATAGAATGTTTGGCACAACTTTATATGTTGGGTTTATACTTGGTGTTAGCTTGATAATCGTGCTAATATAGCTCTTTGGATTTCGTATCCTTGTAGCCAAATCAACATGTTTTAACGAGTCCTTGATCATTGGTTCTCTGCCCTGCACGAACTGTCTCACTTGTCGATTTTCGGGGTTCACAAGAATAAGTGTCGTGTACTGTGACATTTAACTTGTTAGTAACCTGAGCAAACATGGGAGTTCACGTTTTTACGGCTCGCCATGGGCACCATTGTTCGTCGCCTTTTTTGCGCAACGCCGTCTGAAAACGATGGAAATCGTTGTTCCTAAGTGCGCGAGTGCTTATCGTTATGCTGATATGCTCAATCAAACGTCACGTTACAGTATGGCTGCTGTTGGGCCTCCAGGGCAGCCAGCTGGCACGCCGCAACCGCCTGCGGCTTCATTCTACGGTCAGCCGGCGCCAATGTATCCCAATGGTCCAGCTCGTTTACCGGGTGAGTCGTTTAATTTGGGGTAGAATATTCTTCTGTTGTTGATTTCCATATAAATGTTGTTGATTTCCATATAAAAATTTTTTAGCTGGTTATCCCGGAGGCTATCCTTACCATCCTGCTCATCCTAGTGTTCCGCCTGGACATCCAGGTGGGCCACCTCCACAACAACCGCCACAATTTGCACCCGCTCCCCACCCTGCTGCTCATCCTGCCCATCCACAGCATCAGCAGTACATGCAACAGCAGCAGGTGAGCCTTGAATATATCCGATTCCTTGGTGAATTATATTATCAGTCACTTATCTTCGCTTCTTTGGTGGATCAAATTCATGTTTTGTAAAATCCCCGTTTTTACTATGAACAGTGAATGGTTGGGTTGCATGCTAGTTAAAGCATTCACTGCCACACAAGTATTTCGCCAATTTTGAGAGTTGAAGATAATCGAAGCGATGCCATCTGGACTCACTTGATTTTCTGACATGGTAAAATTTCTTGAATGGGGTCCTCCTATTATTATAAAATTTAGTGCCTCGGCCACTTTGCAAGGTTTGCTATTTCAGAGGTTTTTTTTTGTAAATTCTAGCATAAGCTGTGGTATATGGTTTTGGGTAAATGTCTTTTTTTAACTTTTTGTGTGTCCCTTGTGCTACACTTGCTCATCCACTATTTTGACAATACTCTTCTCTTGCCCAAATTGTTAGAAAAGAAAAATTTTGAATCGGTTCCGAGAAATTCGCATTCAGTTCTCATGGTAGCACTGCTAGTGCAGCTTATTCGAACAGTTTTTAGTTTCTTAAATTTTCCTTATAGTAATTTAGCCTTAGTTTTTTTCTTTTCTGAAACTCCTTCTTCTAGATGTGGCATCAAAGAAGCGGTTACCCTGCTCCTGGGCAAATGCCTCCGCAGGCAGCTAGGTATGGATATCCGCCAAGGATGCCTCCGCCTCAAGGGGCTCCTACTCAGCAAAGCACACCATCACCTGGTGCTAACAAGATGAGAGTGAGTCTGAGCAGTTGCACTTGGCATTCTGCTTCAACATTTCATATGGGTGTACCTGAAATTCATTTCTTCAGTACGCTCCGCAAGCGCCACAACCACAGCAAGCAGTTGCACCGCAGCAGCAACAGTACCCTCCACGGCCGCCCCAAATATCCGCCTCGTACCCGCCAGTAGCTACTCAGACTGCTCCTGCTCCTACTCCACTCGTCCCGCCATCAATGTCATTTTCTCATCAACATCATTTCCCTCATGGTAGCGTTGAGGCGACTGTCATCAGCCAGAAACGAAGACGTAAGATCATGGCGAGGGAGTTGATAAATGTGAGTTTTGAGTTGTAATAGCAACGGTTGTTCATTCTTACAGAGCCATTATCTTTTCTTATAGGCTACTCCGCGACGTTTGATCATGGCGCTTCGTAGCGGTATGGAGGCTGAGGCAATTTGGGCTATCAATGCATTGAATGTACTTCTGTATGACGACACGAACCCCCACCCTAGCCTCAATCAAATGCCTGGTCTTTTGAATGTGATCATTGAGCATTTCTGGGCTACTCTGTCGGTCCTCTTTCCGGATACGTTCCCCGTAAGTTTCTTGATACTGTACCACACGCATTTGCTCGCAACTGTTATCGTCATCATGTGAAATTGATGCCTTATTTTGACATCTTTAAGCTCGGTGAGCCGTCTCAGCTTCAAATTGCCGAAGGAGACCCTGAAGCTTTACGTTTGCCTTACCTTACGAATGGCAATGCCCACGAGCAGGTGAAACAGCCCGTTGCAGTGCGAAACCCTGAACAGAAAAAGAATTACAATAAGGTAAGTTGTGGTTGTGGTTCCTCTTTGATCAGTTACTACAACATGTAGGATTCCAGTGCTCACGTACGGGTAGAAAGATCAAAGTGCTGGAGGCCGAAATGCCGGAGCTGCTCAAAAGGAAATTGATGCTAGAAGAGGGCCCTAGTTGCCTGCCCATAGACGGTAAGTGTCTTGAAAAAGTGCTTTTGCGCAATGAAGAAATGCGTTCCTTTTTAGAAACACTGACGGCAGACTATGTTGAGGAAAGAATACAACTAGGGCTTGGCGGAGGCCTTGCAGAGCGGGTAGCTCTTCGCCTTCGAACCGAATGGCATGCCTCAAAAACGCAAAGCCGAGCAAGGTTCAGCTGTAGTATAGATAAGGACGAATGTAGTGCCGAAGCAAAAGCTAGTAGTTCGACAGTGATCAAACAGGAAGCAAAAGAAGAAACTGGAGAGGTATGTTTATTGTTGTGTTCGTGCTGAAAAATGTGGTTCGTAATTCATATGGGGATGCTTTAAGACGCCAGAAATTGTCATGCTTCGCCGAGGGCGCAATAACGAGTGTTGCGATGAAGCGAACGAATATGAGATTCGATGGCCTCGAGCTACTGCGCTAACGGACCGCAACGAGACGCTACAACGATTCGTTAGTCAATTTAATTGTTGCAAAATTTCTCTTTGTTCTATGTTTTAAAGTTCGCTTTCACCATTTTGGTCTAGTTTCAATATAGCAGAATTTTTCGCGCTATATTACATTCTATCGGGAATTGTTGTAAGTAAGGCTAATCGGTTCTCATCGTTCCTGTTGAGTGTTCTAATAAAGCTGTCCTTTTTACGGTTTTTGCTTATTTCGGAATCCCTGTGGCCTCTTTTCGAAATGATTGCAATGAACTTAACACCCACAGATTCACAGTAAAATATCATTCCTCGATAAGGGGAAACTCTTAGAATGGTAACTAAGTTCGTTGCGTGGTTTTATTAACTTTTTGAAATTATTGCTCCAGTTTTTAAATTTGTGTTTTTTTTTACATTTCCCGTTAGTAACGAATCTAATTTAGTCTCTTCGTGCCTTGGCGCTATCAAACATACTACGCGGTTTCTCATTCCTTCCGGGAAGCGAACATCTGCTCTGTACTCATAGTGGATTATTGTACATCTTGGGACGATTCCTGCAGCTCTTAGTTGTTGAAGCTCCAGTCCAACGTGCAAAACCTGCTCCAAAGATTGAAGTGGTACGTTCGTACTATTAATGTTTTGTTTTGGCTGAACAGGGTATTGATTTTTCAAGTAGTAATTCCCAACATTTATCTTCTGCCTGTGGTTTGTTGATTAGTGTTCGCTCCTGCTTCTTTCCTGCTTTTAAGACATGGCTTTTTTCTCAGTCACGGCTTGTATTTTTCCGCAATTACAGTAACTTTTTTTTCGCAGGATGCCCCTTTACCGGAACCTGAATCATATGAAACAGTAAGAACTCGAGCATTATCTCTGCTCGACTGCGACGATGCACAGCAGGTGCTGTTAGTTGAAACGGCAAATCAGCTGAGGGATGATGCGTTTGTGATGCTTTGCCACATGAGTGTAGCGGTACGTTTTTATGTGGGTAGTGAAGCTTCCATTTCATTTGTTCACGTTCTAGTATTTGTTAATACATACGTTTATATTACTTCCAGCTTGACCTGTTCGATGTGCCTGACCGATTGGCTTATCCCATTTACGATGGTATACTGCACTGGTGTTCGACAAGCGTTCCAGAAGCAACAGATCCTATTCCGCCTGCGGCAGTCTCACCAAGGTATGTTAGCCTCTTCTGGTTTCGTTTTATTGTTGGCGAATGTATTTTCTTTTATTGCTGTCTTTGCATTATGTCCATTTACTAGCCAATAGTTATTGCGATTTCCCTTTGTTCCTAGTCTCCCTTTTTAAAGGTTTCATCAAGGTTGCACTTTTCCAAAAAGAAAATTCAAACTTTATCTGCAGGAACTATGCGCTCGAGATAATGTGCAAGATGTCAGTGTTGGAACGAAACGTGGACATGTTGTTATCCACTGGAGCATGGCCGCGAATAGAGAAAATTGTTCGCATGCTGGCGAAAATGTTGAGTATGAGCGAGGAAACACACCATCGGTGCGTAATTTCCCAAATTGACTGGTTGCTTACTTCATTGAATTTTACAATTTTTTTTTGTTCAAAGAATTTGTTTATAGTGAGTTTGCTATCGTTATTCTAAACGCTTTCTGCAACGCATCTGAAGCGGTGTGCTATGTTGCTGCTATGCAATCGCCAACAATCGCAAATCTCGTCTCATTCATCGAAGCATCTGATCAGAGCATGCACCAGGTATAATCTTTAGTCTTCCAAGCGAATTCATGATTTACTCTCGTAGTAGCAAAGAGTGTTTCATTCTAGTACACTTCCGTTTTGCATCTCTTATTTTACTTAAGGTTATGCAAACGCATGGGATGCCTGCTTTACGTGATAATCCGGAAATGATGGGTACCTCTGTGGGAATGCTGCGACGAGCTGCTGCGATGTTACGTCTTCTAGTCAAAGTCCCTGATGCGTACCGCGTATATGCAAAGTTCCAGCAGCGGTTACTTCAATTCACTATGAGTCAGCTGGTGAGTACTTTCTACAATAAAGTTGCCACCGTATGTGAAATCATGAATACTACTGCTTACACTCTTTGTAGCATAAGTGGGATACAATTATTTCTCGAGAATGTTCTTGCGCAACCCAGTTGTTGTTCAAGTGCACCTGTCTCATACCATCCTTACTACAGTTCCATCATTTAATTTGATTTTGATCGAGTATCTTGAGTTTCAGATGGATTCGCGAGTTGCGGGTATGATAGCAGATGCTCTATATGAGATTCAAGCGCTGCTAGGCAAGGAAAAAGCTTCCAATGTAAATACGAATGAGGCTAATCACAATCATGACGGAGGTATGCTTTTTATTTTACTTTCTTTTATGAAGCTTTCCAGCAGAAATGAAGCACTATACCATAGATTAAGACGGCTTTGCTTGAAATACTAACTTCCTTCAGTCGTTTTGATTTTACCACTGCTGAATATTTTCGTCTCTAAAAATGTTCCTCATCGTGATGTACCCCAATCTTGCTTCGTTCAATCATAGGCGATGGAGCCACTTTTTTTTACCGAATCTTCGAACAAACTTTCTTGACGAAAATTTACAAAAACCTCTCTGCTTAGAATATCATGGTTAAATATTTCAATTTTACAAGTTTTGAATGTTTTTTCCTTTTCACTGGCATCTCTACTGTTTCTTCTGCTTGCCAATTGTCTAGAAATGATTTTTTACATAGAGTAGATGTAGTTGTTCGTGCGTTCCTTTTATCCCTGTCAAATGACTTGTAGGTTACCCGGAAAGTTTTTCCTCCAAATATCCTATCATCATGGCTTAAGAATTTGCGAAACAACAAGGCAAAATATCTATTCTCGAAAAGAATAGTTTAGATTATAAAAAGATGCAAGAAAATTGTTTTGGCGGATATTTTTCCGCCACTGTATACCCTGACGAGGATGTAGATATCTGTGTAGTGTTTTATGAAACTGTAAAGAACTCACAATGTTTTCAAAGAGGCGTGCATGTTGAGAATCACGAGCCACATTATAAGGCTTGGACTTCCATCTTATTTCTGGAGTTTTGGTAAGCAGCAAGCAAAATTAATTCGAAAAAAAAAAGACTGCCCCTTCCCCAAAGTTTGCTTTGCGTGAAACTCATTCTATTTTTTTCCTTGTTTAATCCATTGTAGTCAAGTTCTGTTTTATCAATTTCATATATTGGTACTTTAGATGCATCTGAAGTGGTAAAATCCGAGAATGCTGCGGACGACACGTCGTCTTCTGTATCTACGGATGTTGCAACTGAAAATGTTGTTAATGACGATTCTGCTTCACAAGCGACTATTAACGGTGATGCCACAACTCAAGCACTGAAGAAGACCGCCATGAAGCGATCCGGAATCCATGACGACGTGAGCCTTCTATTCTGATTTATTATAGCTAGATTTTTTTTCATGTGTTTTAGTTACGACTTAATTCTTCTCAAATTTAGTGTGTTACCAAAGCACCATCATCAAAACGAGCCTGCTTAGAGAACGGGTATGAGAAGAAGAACGGGAAGTTGGATAGCAGTCCTTTGAAGTTGAAAGAAACACGGGCAGAAAACGGATCGATGACCGCTGTCGCATAGAGCGATATTCACTGGTATATCGTTCAACGAAAACTGATTCTTTTAGCGCCATCACTTGCCACGTGCCGTCGTTTCGCCTCAGTCCAAAATTTCATAACCGCTGATGATATCTGTCTGTGCGTGTCTAGGTGTCTGTGCGTGTGTACGTGTACGTGTGTGTATACCTTTCATATACGTGGAACTCAATAACGGATGAGAGTCATTTCGATATAGAGCATCAGATGCGTAGCGTAGGTATTGTTGAATACCGGTAGGGCCTCCAACGGTTGGCCCCTCTCAGTAAGGTCCTCGTTTGTCCGGTTCTTCTTTTCTGTTGTCTTTTTCATCCTTCATTTTTAATCATTGTCTGTCCCTTTTTTCACTCCTCTACTTATGTCCGTGTATTTTTAATTACGGCTCGGGACAAACCATGTAAGTATCGCTCCTATATGTAGGCCATATAGGCCTATATGTGACTTCTATCCTAGATTGTACGTTTTGACCCCGCGATATTGGCTATTGTCAGGTTGTGTATGCAAGCGACGCCATCGCTATTCATCCACTATTTCTACTCCTATGCTAGTGCTTCTCTACTGTTCGTACACAAATTTTATTTTCGATCCGGTTGTAGTGTACTTGACCTGATCTAGCAGTAGTAAGTATGCCGTAACCCTGATTCAACACATGGTCTTCATCATCATTATTATTATCAGTTTTTTTCATCATCGATATTTTTTTAAATGTTTCGTGCACCTGGGAGTATCGGGTCAAGATTTCTATGTGAATGTGGTTTTGTATGCGTTGTTTGTCTCGGCGGGAACCGATCCGGGGGCGCTCAATCGCCACGGCTTCGTGTTGATCCCTTGGTAAACCTCAACTCAAGTCGTCCTTCCCTGTTTTGTTCTAATATAAATTGCTCAGCCAATGCTGCTTTGTGAAGATTCAATTCCTTCCCTTTCCATTTTCCACATATAATATACGATGACTAATGATAAGGTGATTTTTTCGTTTATGTTTCATCTCTTCTTTTTTTTTCGTTTGCGCGCGTTCTGATTTTGTGCTCTCTACTGCTGCTAACGGCGCCGTCTTATACTGTAAGTTATTACATTTTGAAACCAAGTTGCGTTGTTTAGAATCTCCTCCTTCTTATCATCGTTCGTTTGGTTCATTCGTTCGTTCATTCGTTCTAGGGGCATACATGTTGACTAAATAATATTAACTTATGTATTTGTTGGCTACGTGGACCGCATGAGTTGCGCTGTGTATATTCTCTTCTTCTTCTCTCCGTATGATGTTTCTTTGAGATACATGTGTATGTTTCTCGAGTCAGGAATAAAAATGATCTATAAATATGTGTTTTCAGGATTGTGTATGTTGAAGCTGGGTTCGCTGCCTATGCGGTTTTTGACGTAGAAGTTTGACGTAGGAGTTTTCACTCCATACTTAAGATTAGTGAATGCTGCCAAAAAGTACGTCTTATTCGGGTTCTGTCCAAATGCCGTCTTTTAAATTCCACAATTTAGTTCAAGATCCGTTTACGTCCTTTATGAAGCTCACACTTTTTTCTCATTTTTACTTATTGTTGCATTAGTGGTCTACAGGGGGTCCCATAAATATTGCACCAATTTTCTTTACTTGTAACTTCTCGCAGAATGGATGTATTTTCAGATGGTTATACACATTTATGAGCCATAAAAGAAATGCCCCCTTCCCCGCCCTATTGCTGCTATCATAGCTCCCAGTTGCTTCGAACGCAACGCAACTTTGCTGTGGCCTGCACGACATTCTATGGTGTCCTCTTCGAACTTTGCAGAGAAAAGGCTCCGGCTCATCCATGTGGATGCAATGTTTAGTGCAGGCTCTGCCCCCTAACATAGCCCACATAGGATGGTCCAGCACGTTGAAATCAAGGGATAGGAGAGCCATTCGTTTGAGGATGTGAAATCGGAAAGAGCGCCTCTACCTAACACCGCTTCTAAACAATTTTTGCCGCCTATCCAGAAGCTATTGTCGTATAGTCCGTGGGTCCTATTGAAAAAACATAATTCCTCCTCAATTTGGCTAGGTACATTAGTAACAGAGATGTGCACCTAGATGTCCCATAACTAGGTTCTAGTAGCGAGTTGTATTCCTTTTTAAAGCGAGGGATTACGATCAAGTGTATTTGCAAGTATGAGAAGACACGCACCTTGGCAGTAGGCCCAAGGAAGCGAGATGTGGTCTTTTTGTAGCCAAAGGCGCTAGTTCAGCGCCCTGGGGCTGCCAATCCTTCCTGAGCTCCGCCTCCGTCGCCTGTGCTCCGCCCACCAGTGTGTTGCATGTTGGATGAGGATTCCACTTCGAGTGCGTATCCTATAACTTTCCCATGGATGCGTGATCAATCAAAGCATGGCCTTTGCTGGAATGATAGCGGCTATCGGTTTAACATGTGCAAACGACCTCTTAGTTGGTTGCTAGCTCGTCCATTATCGGAGGTCAACGGGCAAAGAAAGGGGTCCCATTTTGCGCGTTCTTGACGGATTTCTTTGCTTTTTTCGCCACTGGGGCATTATTCAGCATCATCACTTCCACTATGAATGCAATCTAATCTATCGTAATCTCTCGCTTTCATCAGGTGGTGGTGAGCGACCGGTAGTTGAGACTCCTGTCCGGACCATGATAAGGTCAAGCTGCTGCTTGAAGCGAGTCTCTCTTCCCTTTTCGTTGGCTTCCTAAGGACCTCATGGGAGCGTCCTCGTACTTTGGAGATTGCGCTTCATTCTACAGTGGGAGTTTACCGTCGAAGAAAACGGTGCTTACGTAATCGCTTTTTTGGGCCCTTGGCACTAGTTCTTCATAGTTTTGCCTCTGCTGCGCTTCTATGGTTCGATTGAGCGGTAGCGCTTGAAATGGCTTGTGAGCAGTTGTTATATGACCACTCTTCACATGATTGTGTTCAAAAACTTCAGCGTTCTGGTCACCTTTCTCAAGCCAACCGGGTATTGCAGTCGACCCGCTTCTTCGAGCTTTTCCTGGGATACAAGATGCCAGAGCTTACGCGGTGGCCGCCCGAGGACTACTTCTATATACCCTTTAGTGCACGACGGGTCACGGCGCGGTTAAGGTTCCAAAGAAATGCGATATTTATTACCTGATGTCCGACCGAGCTGTGCGAATGATTACGCTCGGTTGAAGTTCAATCGCACCATGAGAGTAGGCCGAACAGTAAGCCGTAGAATTTGGCATGGTTTGCTAGGTTTGGATGGATTAAAAGGTCTGCCAATCTTGGAAGAAATGCTATAAACATTCACAGAATTTGAGCAATGCGATAAGAATGGGACACCAAAACCGCAACTCTGAACTCAAAGCACGCGCCATTATGAGAGTAGAGCTTCTCTTATTTATTATTTTCATTTATTTTCGTGATTTCTTTTTATTTATTCACACTTTAAAAAATACTCAGTCTGAGTCTTTTCCGATGGGGTTGATCCTTCTGTATTGAAATTGGTGTCACCTTTGTGGATGGTTTGAGACCATTTCTACAATTGCCGGCATCCGACACAGTTTTCTGCTGATGAATGAGTCTAACTGCAGACTTCAAGAGCTTCACTTCGGCAGCCACCTCACGCCAATGATTAATAATTCTTAATGGGTCAATGAAAGCACTCTTCTGAAAGATTCAATATGGAGGTCTTTTCGAGATGATTTGGGCCTGAATTTTATGTAGAGACATCTATAGACGCCATCTCTAACTCCGTTCCTCGTTCCGAACTTCCAATTAATGCCGATCCGAGGTCATCATGCCGATGACGAATCTCAGCTGGGATGTGGCGCCATCTGAAGTCTGAATTGTGTCTAATGATCGCCGCTGTCGCAGTGGGGAAGTGGAGGCGTTTGTGCGCTGCGCGAGTCGACTCGATGATGACGACGTCCGAAGCGAACGACGATGTGAGCGGATGAAAAAGCTGGCGCGGCAACGCACTCGCGCACAGACCATCGAAAATTAGGACAGACATTTGGCGCGACCGGCTGCACGTCGACCGGCCGACACGAGCGCCCAGCCTTGAAGGAGTACGCATCCAGCTGTGCCCGTGCGCGCACATCAGCCGGCGAATTACCTCAGGGAACTCACCTTGAAAGAGGGTTTCCATGTTTCGACGGTTTCCATGCTGCAACATGGATGCAGGGGTGATATTTTGGGACTAGCCAGGGTAAGCTAGATTATTCTGAATCGTACGTCACCCAATCGCGCCTGAATCGCTCTTTCATAAAATCACGAGGGCACCACGAGGAAGTCCGAGAAAAGAGTCTGAGCACCAAATATTCAATTCAATTCTGGAAATCCCTTCTATGCAGAATTTAATGCAAAATTCTGAAGTGCATGGGAGTTTGCATGCGATTTGAGTTGTTTTCGGTGAAAAAGGACAAAGTGTTCGGCATTTCCCTTCTTGGAATGCGCCATGACTCCTCGTCCATTCAAATTCATAATTACATTTGAACGAGATTCGGCCTATAAAATGAATTGTGTGGTCAGCCGATATGCAAGTTATCAAGGGTGTTTTATTTTTACAATCATGTCTTCTACCAATGAACTCGCCCCCAGAGGGAGGGAAAGTTTGGTTAGTGTGGTTTCGGATTGGACCGTAGGATCGTGTGTGTTGGTGTCGCTTGCCTCTTCACCACTTATTGCATATTCATTCGATGAGCAATTATTCATATGACCTCAGCCGAATGTGCTCTATGATGCAAAAACTGCTTATCTTCTGAACCACCATCGAAGAAAAACCGCTCAAGTTCATTCATCACTCGAAAAGTAAGGCGAAGGTGAAGCAGCGTGTATTTGGCGTTGGTGTCTTACCGATAGTCCAGAAATCGAATTCTGGAACCAAGCCTGCTTAGATTAATCTGCCTAAAATTGATATTTATCCACGGTTAAGTTTTCCAAGTGGTATACCAGATGCCTGAATACAGGGTCAACCGTCACGATGGACCAATTTCGAAAATTCGACCCTCCTCCTTTTAGCAAGCTACTTCGTAGTACT